TAAGAGTTAGTTCCCAGTTGCTTTTACAGTGTGACACTGCCTAACACTAAACTGAACTGCTGTGTTTAGACTTGGGGGTCTTGTGCACTCTCTGTGCCTGTCTAGGGAACAGGCAGCGCACTGGATTTTAAAAGCATCCTGGCTCCAAGTGCTTCACCAATCCAAGGATTTCAGCAGCTTTTGAAGTACTGCTGTAGCAGCTGGCAGAAAGAAGCCTGAGGTCAGCATAGTGCCCCAAAAGCACTGGCATCTCACTGCATGGGGCTGGCACACAAAGAACCCAGGAGCCACCAGAGCCCTGGAGATAGGACCGACAGCTGACATCTCTCCAAGAAACAAGAAAGCAGCCAGAAGGAAAAAACCATCAGAAATAAATGAAAGCAGCAGCTTTCCTCCCACTACCATCCTCAAACGAAGCCCCCATGGTTTACGAAGGGAGGGGTGGGATTGCTGTTCTCTCCTCTTCTCCCCATTAAACTTTATATTCCCTTCTCCCTTTCGAAGGGTTCAATAACACATTAAACATTCAGCTGCAGAGTCGACTATTGCCTATCCTGAGTTTAGAGATTTGCCCTGCACCATCTGAATGCAAGTAGCTAGAGCCCTGCAAATCTGCAGAGATCCGTTTTATAGCTGCAGTTCATTTTTGAAGATACGGATGCAGTTACACATTTTGTATTTAGAACCCTGCAAATTTGCCGATACGCACAGGTATGCACATCTGTTGATGTGGGTACAGCTATCTGCAGCTTATTTTGGTGGCTATGGATGCAAATACAAATGGCAACAGACTTACATAAATCCAGGCAAGTCTCCACATAGGGAGAGGAAGGAAACCAGAATCTCCTGTAGATGTCCAATGAGGCGCGCACACACAAAACTCACAAGCCTCTAGAAGTTAACTAGATGAGTTGTACTGAAATAGAGTGGAGTGCTTTGCTACATGGCTATCCAATTTGCAGTAGGCAATAAAAGCAGCAGCTTAACAACACTGAAATATCATATATTACAAAAAAAGCTTGGCTATGTTCACGCTCTTGATGAAGGGAGCAGACACAACACAGAGCTACACTGTGGAGGAAAGCTAAATGTAATTAGATCAGAAATGCTTCCCAGTCTAGTGTGGAGGTTACATAATAAAATAAATCTTTAATATAAGTATTACAGAAAAAGAATTGGAGTAATGGTCAAAAACTTATAAGAAAAATTATTTTTATTCCTAATTTTTAATTCTGCTGTTTACAAATATGCTTTTATACTGATAATATAACCTTGCAGCAATTAAAATCACAGCACAGCTTGCAAAGCAGCTGAACTAACACCCATAAATACCATAAGGGAAAACAATGAACAACCACTAATATTTCTATACATGATCTATTATTTTAATGTCACATTTTGACAATTGTAAATGATCTACAGAATGCATGTGGGCAAAAGGAATTAAGTGAGTCTTTTGAAACACTAAATGTATAATAAAACAGCGCATCATTATTAACATTTACATGATTCACATCAAATTGATGACATCCTAAATGTCCTCCTTTTAAAGGATAGAGATTTTCAATAAAATATTACATTTCATTTAATACTCTGGTACAATACTTCATACATTGCAGGAAAAAAATAAATGTACGGTCTAGTCCACCTAATAAAGGATATTTTTTTCCATTAGCCTTTAGTACTGTAATAAAAAAATCACAATAGTGTCATAAATAACCAGGTCTGTAATTAATAATTACATTTTGCTATTTAAAAATTGAAAAATTAAAAATTAATTTGAAATAATGAAGAAAAATGTCCTAGTACCAACTGTCTGATTTATCCCATCCCTACAATGAAAAAGGAAACAAGTTTTATAGCTAGGGATACAACTAACGAAGTTGCATTTTTCAATACATATACCTCAAGAGAAAATAAGTTTGGTCAACAGAAGACCTAATCAGTCCTACTAAAGGTTACCTGAAATTAAAATGTATGCTATAAAATATTCAGTCAATTAGGTCTGCAGCAGTTTCTTGCTAGCCTATAATACTGCACCTTCAGAGTTGGTTTAAATTTCCCTTGTGGTATAGTCTTCTACTATAGAATGCTTCAAAACTGCATCCCTTTTCCATTCCATTCTTACAGCAATAGCTTGTAACATGATGTTAAATTAGTTTTCAAAAACTCACTAAAATACATGAAACCAAGTGTCCATTTTTCCCCTGTACCAAAGGAGGTTTCTCTCTCTTGTTTGATTTGTAATAAAACAACTGATGTTTAAAATAATAGTAAAAGAGAAAGACACACAAAGAGTTTACCCCTCTGTTGACTATGTTTGAAAGGCAGCTGGTTTGTAACTTGTAAGATCTCCCTCCCCTTTGGTTTTCAGCAGGGCCAGACACTCCAGTTAAAAAAGAAACAGCTCTCTCTAACATACAATCTTTTGGAATCTTTTCTAATTAAAAAAAAAAACATTCATCCATCATGCGCTCCTAAAAATTAACACACATTCTAGACAAATAAGATTCCCTCAGTTCCAATAACAAATAAGTACAGAGGTAAGTTCCACAGAGCTTAAATTCTATCTTATGATAGGCAGTCTTATGCTGAATACATCAGCATATTATTGGTTGCAGCTCTCACAAGTCAATCTTTACGACAGGTCACATTAGTGCAGTTCATAAGCTACGGCTTAGAGGATCTTCCTTTGAACTTTCATTTTGGTGCAAAGTATTTCTAATCCTGAACATGCACTCCATTTCTTCCTGATTTAAAAGTTGGTTGCATCCAGGGAAGTATTCAAAAACACAACTCGGCACTTAAATGATCCCTATTTAATCTTTGCAGAAAAAGTCAACAGGATGAAACTATATATGGAGGCTGAGGAAGGAAGGTGATATAAAGCAAATACTGTATGCTATTCGTGACAGAATGAACAAAAATAGATGAACAAAAATTATTCTTTCATAAATCCATAAGAATTTTAGATCTACAGAGGGTGGAAATATTAATGACTGTACTATAGATTATGACATTAAGACACAAATATTATGGTTTGCTGGTGACAGGATTTCCAGGACCAGAAGATAAGAGGTATTAAGAGGCAAAGTAACAAAGTTCAGCTTAAGTTAAGATGCACCTTCATTCAGTTCAGACAAAAACAAAATGTGAAGCATTTGACTTTGCAAAGCATTCTCAGGGAAAGTTAATGCAAGCCCAACATCAATGTTGGGGACACAAACGTTTCACTAATTACATTCCAGGCTTATGTGTAATTTCACTAATATGATTAATAATGTAACTTCATCACTTCTGCACCCTTCCTGCACATACAATGCAATGCAGTGATTGCCATGATCTGCATACTCTAAATAAAAATAACAACACCTCCAATACCACCTAGTGGCTTCACCATAATTCTCCACCAGCAGGGAGAGGAAAAATGCTGCTAAGATACCACTGGTACCTATGCCTTGATCCTGATCCTGCTATTAGCACCGTCAGCTGCTCTAAGCTCCAATGGGAGATCTAGAGTCAGATAACACAACAAGGCAAGGTTTCTCTAGTGTGTTTATAGGCCTTCTGCAGATGAAGAAACTCAAGAAACTGTGGCATGATAATAGCATCTCTCACTGCTGGCATCACTTTGGGAGGATTTTGTTTCATTAATAATAATCAAAAGTGTTTTTAGAAACAGATACAGTATTTTTTTTAGTTAAAACATGGACAGTAAATTGGATGTGGCTCTGAAAGGCACTTTAGGCAGAATGTTAGTGAAACTCCTGCCTGATGAAACAGACCAGAACAAGCTGCTGTTGACTGCTACCTGCACTGCCCTTTTCACTAAGGCAATATAGGTGATAGCTAGTTTCCACATAGTTCTTTTCCCTAGGCAACTCTGAACGAGCCACCTGCAGTAGTGTAAGGCCTTACTGAGAACCAGATGGCCCAATAACTATAATTTTTAAGAAGGGAGTCACTCCAGCCTAAGATAACAGTTTGCACAGGCAGTTATCAGCATTCCCTGTAAGCTGAGCGCTTGGGTGGCTGCCCAGGAGAGAGTCAGATTCTGTTCAGCTGATTGGCAAAGGCAGATCACCCACAGCTGCTCGCAGCCAGCAGCATGTGTTTCCATTCGTGGTGCATACCCACACATGCCTGGGTGCACATAACAAAATTTATTCTGCACATGGATGGAAAAAATTAGAGGGAACACTGGCGGATACTCGTTTATTTTAATATGATGTCAAGTGCTACTGCAGAGCTTCCTAAAATGTCTCAACTCTCCTGCTTAATACATGATCACTAACAAACTAACATAGGCAGCAGCCCCTATAGCTGTGTTTTTTGACAGCTGTGTTTTTTGTAAATTGGTATCTTAGATACGAATCATCTAGAGAATGTTCTAGTCTGATGCAAAGGCTACTTTTTGTAGTTACTCAAAAATAGCCCATCCAGCAACACAGCTGAGAAGTAATCAAAGCCATCAGCTGTTACAAAAAACCACCTTCATATAAAAAATTAACTGTTCACCCTGACAAACCAAGAACAAGTTTGAACTGTATTAAAACTCTGAATGTGGGTGATCCACAGTCTTCAAACAATCAAGTTTAGTTCCCATTACTATTTGATATTAATGTAATGGACTTACCCACATTATTGCTTCCCGATCACAAAAAAAAAAAAAAAAAAAAAATCCCCACAACTTTCTCTAACAAGAAATAATGTTAATAACTAGATTTTGAAACAAAAATGCTATCTGAAGCAGATGAATGCCAGTCTAACTGTTGGCCGGATTCACAATTAAAATTCTATAAAATATCTTTCTACATTGTAGAGAGGATTTCTTTTTTAATGTGAAAAATGAGCAATTGTAAATCAGGTATTAGAGAGAAAGGATATAATGATCTTTAGATGGTCTTAAATTTTGCTTACTACTGAAGGGATAAACAACCGTAAATAAAAAGTTCATTCTTCATGCGAAGCTTGTTCCATCTCTTTCTTGACCTTTTTTAAAAAAAATATTCATTTCTGTGAAAGTGAAAAAAATTGTAAGTCCTTTAGAAACATATAATTCATCATCGTGAACGTACATGGAGTTACTTTATTTTTACACTTAGCATAAACAGCAGTGATTGATCTTAGATCTAAAATATCAGATGGAATTTCAAACAACTATAGCCCTCTATCAGTTTAATGAAATATAATCTGGTCTTCTCCCATATATGTGGAGTGGCTATTCTTCATGATCACTTTACAACTGTAAACTTGTTCTATCAAAGGTACAGTAACAGGTCTGACATCCTATAACGAAAATAAAAATTACTAATTTCTTAGAGAAGTAGCTAAAAGAACTGAGATCTAATTTACTTTTCATCATTTACAGTGTTCATTTTGCATTTCAGTTGCATTGGACAATAAATAAAAGCCTAAACTTTTAATTCTTGAAAGGATTAGCATAAGGTATCTCTGGCCCAAAATGTAAGAATATATCAAAAGAATATAGAAACCTAACTTCAAAAGACAATTCATTAAAAACTTAAATTCAAGATGCCATATTTCCAAATGAAATCTGAAGTACTGGGCTTGTCTATGAGAAACAGCAAGAATGAAACAAATATATTCCATTACATTTGACTGGGGAGCAGAGAAATTATAGGTATTTAAATATAGTATAAGGCAAAATGCAAGTACTTATCTGAGTGATGGTAAGGGCTTAGTTTAGTGATATTATATGAATAATAGGACAAAGACCCTTCACTTTCTACTCCAGAGTCTTAGTTCCAAACTGTCTTGCACTGGCAGTGACTGAAAGGCATTCATATACATTTGGGACCTGAAGTCAATCAGTGTTCTTAGATTAGTTCCTTGTGGACACCTTTCCACTTCATACACACACAGTTGGCACTTTTCTGATAGTGTCAGTAAGAGGCCAAGGATTTGACAGGCTGCTGCCTTGTATCCTTCAGTAGTCTCCAAGTGCCTAGTGTATGCCAGGATCAAAGCATACTTGCAAAGCAGCATGGGCAAGCTTACAGTGCAGCTGTCTAGGTTGGACTGTTTCCAGACACTGAATGTTTTAGTATTCAGGACCGTATATGTAATATCTTCTATAAGCACCCAGTTTACTTCAATTTAAAGGAAAGAATTCCAATTACAAGACAAAAGTAAGGCTATTCAGAGCAAAGATCAGAACTAATACTCCATCTTGCTTCTGAAGTTGGAAGGCAAACTCCCATTATAAAGTTAAAATTGGTTCTAGTAGTTTAACTCCTTCGAGGGCCAAGTGAGTGGCAATACAAAACAGAGATTTTAAGATGTGTACTGTTCCCTGGATATAGGGAATACTAATTAGGGAGCTATGGAAATTTAGACTTCAAAACAGGATATACCCCAAAAAAACAGTGAGCAGATCTTCAGACCATGATTTATTTAACAAATGTCTAGTCTATGGGCCATACTCCAACTCTGATGTGGGTTACAGTCTATTGGGTCAGGGTGAATGCCATTTCCTTTATATGCCATAATGGCTCTGATGCAATCAATTATATAAAGGTCTACGTAAATCATGTTTGCAGATCACTGGCACAGCCACTCTCTGAAGCAGAGATGTTCTATCACATAAGCACATTATACCCACATGCTAAAACCTTGTACAAAGTTTTACTTTAAAAAGTTTTAAGGTTTTATTGATAATTTCCAGAGCAAATGAGTCTAGAATTATTCAGTGCAATACAAAAGTAGCCGGTGTCACAAACTCTCCCTGAGATCTGAAAGTTTATCTGATTCTTGCCTTTCAGATCTGTGCAAATGGAGATTCTACAGTGAGATGCAGAACAGCATTCACCCCAACCTCCCATAGCTGTATCGACCTAGCAGTGCTAACATGAGCATAAAAACATATTTGGTCAACATATCAAAATGGGAGGATTTAAAAACCACTTACAGTCCAACACAACCCTCAATATCTAAAGACTCACTGAGTGCCACAGTCTCAATTCTGAAATGTATTTAATCGAAGAATCTTTGCCACAATGGTTGGTTTAGCAGTTAAAAGTTTCAATCATATCCTGCAGCCTTTACCGATGTGTAATAATCAAAACCAATTATAACCTGTGATGGAAGTCTGCCTTCAAACTTTAAGCAAGATGGAGCGTTATCTCTGCTCTCTCCTCTTTGCTCTGCATGGTCTGACTTGTGTGTGTAAGAACTGGAATTCTTTCCTTTAAGTAAACTGGGTGTTTATTGAGACAGCCCTGAAGACTTAAACATTCTATTATTACATTATTGATTGCTGTACATCAATAAAGATTGCAGGATCTGACCCCAGAGGTTAGAGAGTTGAGCCACTAGGAAGTACATGTGCTGAGAAAAGTGCTCTTCTGAGAGTCACTTTTCAAGCTGTACCTGCATTTCTGATGATTTCTCTGAGTCACCATCATTTCCCCTCAAATTATATTCCTTTCAAATTCCCTTCTTTGGATATTGAACCATGGTGGGGGGAAGAGGAGAGAGGAGCAAGATGAAGGTATACGTCAATAGCCTTTCATTCTCTTTAATTTTTGTAAATGTTCTAGAAAGTAAAATGCTTTTATCCTTTTTTTAACTGAGTAAATTTAGTCTCAGCTGGAGCAGCCCAAAAAGCACTGTGTCAGATCTGGCTCCACTCAGTCCAAAATATTACTCACCTCAGTTGGTAAATCAAATGGCTATGAAAATGAGGTTGAATACTTCAGCTGCTAAACCAACTGACACTATAGCCATGATTGCTGGATTAAATATATTTTGTGGCTAACCGTGGTTATGTTAAAATATGCTAGTGCAACAAAAGCAGCTTTAAGCTAGATCACACTAGAATTTCCAATGTGCATACCTTCCTTTGCATGGAAGTTTCTGTACATCTCATCTGAAGCTTTTCTGCTGCTGCTGCATCAACCCCACATTTTCATATACTCTAGCACTATCTTCTCTCATTCTAAAATGACAGATTTTTATAGAGAAATAAAGTCAGGTTTACTAGAAAATAAATACACATCGCATAATTCAACTAAGACAGCTAATACTAGTTCAGTTCTCTTGAAAGCACAGAGTATCTGGATTCAGAATACTGGGTGATTTCTGCATGACCCGATCTATGGGGCAAATTCTGCGACAACTCCACCCAATGCCTGCTTTAATACCTAGAGGGTTGCATAGAGTTAAGTCAGCACAAAACTTGGGACAGAATGAAGGCAAGATTCCAAAAGAGTGGCATTGCAGTTCTACTGCAATTCCGGTCATTAAAGAAGTTAACAAGAAAACACGATACAATAGGGAAAACAGAATGGCAAATTGTTAAGTGATTTGAGACCTAGAGACTATTTTTTTTAAACAAAGGAGCTGTTCTCCATCTCACTGCACCTCCAAGCACAGACATATTCACTTCGGTGTGCTCTAGCTAAATTCTAATCTAGGTCACTGAATACTTTCAACCTACATTTTCCTTAGCTCAGATACCATAGTGATAGTCAGCGTAGAAATACAAGACAGATCATTTCAATGGAATATAGTATTGTCTTTACTTTCAGTCCCAAATTATTGTTAAGCAATGTTGCTATATTCTTGCTAAACAGTTGTTCTATTCATTGGTAGCTGCAGGGACACAATGCACGATTTGTGTTCTATGAATAGAAAAACCAGTATATATTTCATATCCAAGTGCTTCACGACCCAAGATATCCTATATGTTTTAAGGCAGGGGTTCTCAACCTTTTTCTTTCTGAGCCCTCCCTCCCCCTCAACATGGTATAAAAACTCCATGATCCAGCTGTGCCACAATAACTGGTTTTCCGCATATAAAAGCCAGGTCTGGCATTAGGGGGTAGCAAGCAGGCCAGCTCTTTGGGGCACCGTGGCAGAGGAGCCCTCGCAAAGTTAGCTAGGCTTTGACTTCCCGACCAGGTAGTAGGGTTCAGAGCTCCAGGCTTCAGCCTGGGGATGGGACTTTGGCTTTCTGCCCTGGGCGCCAGCAAGTCTAATACTCGCCCTGCTCAGAGTACCTCCTGAAACCGGCTCATGGCCCCCCAGGGGACTCCAACGCTCTGGCTGAGAACCACTGTTTCAATGAATTAAAGACCCTTCTCACCAAAGGCCCCTTTGTATCAAATGAAAAATAAGCGCAGTCCCGAAAAATTCCATTTGTGGGGACACCTGAAAAAATTAATAAGATCTCAAGTGAAACTGAGTAGAGAAAGACAGCAAGAGTTTGCTCAGGAAATTCCTCTCATATGATTAGAAATAAACCCTTGCAAGGAAAACAGCCCACAACAAAGCTCTCAAAGGCTGCACCTACTTGAATTCACACGCCATTCAGAACTTATTTACTACTGTCAGAAACTGCTACTTACTCTGGACAGGCTGGGGTCGGAGTACATGGTGGGAGTGGGCTCTGATCCCCGCTTATCTGGTCCGATAAAGAATATTTAATGTTTGTGTATTCATGCCCTTTTCTCTTACTCTTCTGAAAAGAGAGTCAACACAAAAATTAAACAGATTTAGAATTGCCAATAATAACAGAAATCTATATTTGTGAAAGGTAATAGTTAAGTTCAAGAAATTAAATGTAAATTAGCCAAACCTACTTTTTCTAGAAAAGTTTTTGATTTTGTGTAAAAGTTAAAGCATGAAAGATCTCATTTCTGTAATTACAACATGCAGTCTGGCTACTACTAGAGACAGAGGTTATCTTTGACTACTGGCAACTTTTGGTAAAAATCTTCACAGAACACTTGGTCCTAGCCCATCTATCCCCTCTTTCTCTCCCTCCCCCCCCACCCCGCGCCGATCTCAAATAAGATGTGCCAACTTTGTGAATTTATCCAAACCTGGTCAAAAGATTCATCCTTCAGTGTACTCTAGACAATGTCAGCCAGTGGATTGAAAAGGTCAAACACATGCACAAGTTCCACTCTAACAATACATTGTGGAAAAAGTTTGTAGGGCTCAGACCAAATGCACCAATGAGCCAATCAATCCTATGACCCAGTGTTTCCCAAATAGTGTTCCATGGAACCCCAGGATTCCGCCCAAACACTCCCACCCTCCCCCGAGCCAGTCTTTGGGGTGGGCCAGCATTTTGTTTTTGTTTTTTTTGGGGGGGGGGAGGGGTTTCTTGACAGTTCCTTCCTCCCCCCCTCTCCCCGGAGATGGTGGTGGGGTTTTTTTTTTCTTCTTCTTCTGTTTCTGTTGTGATCAGTTTCTCCCAGCTGTTTTTTTTTTTAAGGTTCCGTGGTCAAATAAAATTGGGAAACACTGCTATGTCCAATCGTCCCTGTAAGCTATGCACTAGTACAGGCACTCTCGAGAGATTCCAGTGCCACCCAAATGATTAACTGAGTGCCCACTGCTAGGTTTGTGTTCCTCCTGTTGGTGCACACTCACATATGCCTTGGTGAATAACAAAATTTATTCTGCACATGGATGGAAAAATCTGTAAGTGGATGGAAAAGACTGGAAGGCACACTGCCTATGACTGAGAATTTCAAAACCTCTTCAAAGACTTGTGACAGGTCTACACTGAAAAATTACACTGTCACAGCTATGTCCCTCAAGCGGTTTGAAAAAAAACATACCTGAGAGATGTAGCAATCCCAACTTAATTCCTGGTATAGACAGCACTAGGCCAATGGGAGAATTCTTCCCTAGGCCTAACTTCTGCCTTCAAGTGGATTAACCAGAATGATGACAGAACCCCGCCCAGTGCTGTCCTAAGTGTCTACACTGATGTGCTACAGGAACACAGCTGCACCAACGACACAATAGTATTTTAAATAAAGATGTAGCCTTGGATTCCTAATTCACATTAAAGCAATTTTGAAAATTTCAGCCTATATTTTACTATACTGTAGCTGCCACTAGAAATGTAATGTTCTCTCACTTCTGCCTCCCATTTTCTCTTGACAAATCACTTTACAGGGACCACTAGTCAAAACCAATTATATTATTGTTGTAAATTTTCAAAAATCAGATTGAAGGGGAATAAAGGTTCAGAACCTGTCCCTATTTTAGAATCTGTGAGATACACATTCTCACCTAGACACAGCTAGTAAAGATCAATTTTATGCTGCAGACTAAAATTGTATTTTAAATTCTTCTAACTATGTGATAAATTACAATTCAACCAGCAGGGTTATTTTAAGTGTAAAAAGCAGCAGAGAAGCAGAATAAAAGACAGTTTTGTTCCTTGATCTGACTAAATTAGAGGAAACAAACCATGAAGATGTAAATCTAAGACATCTGAGTTCTTCCTCTGAGTTCACTGATTTGTTATAATTAATTCCTATTATTCAGTGTAACTATTCCTACCACATTTTTATTATTCCTAATTAGAAATAATTATTCAAGAGACTTCAGTGTTACTAAAAAATAAGTATTGCTTCCAAGAAGGAAATTAATCAAACAGGTTTAACTTTGTAGTTTTCATACATTCAGAAGAGACAGGCAATATTTAACACAACATTGATTACATCAAGACTTCGGAGGCTCTCAATGCCAAAAGGCAATAGGGAATACTTCTAGAATAGAGCTGGGTAAACAACTCAGGACACTGTCTGAATTAGGGCATGAATAAGTGGACACCTGCAAATCCATGGGTATCTGCTTTATACCCACGGGTATCCTCATCCGTGGACATTCACGGTTCATTATACAGATATGGACATGGGTACAAATTCTGTATCTAAAACCCAGCAAACTTGCAGCTATCCACTGTATATCTGTGGCTATCCACATCTGTGGATGCAGATATTCATGGATCATTTTTGTGGATATGGATGCAGATGAAAATTTTGTATCCATGCCGGGCTCTAAGAATAAGATATTGACCTTGCTTCACCCAAAAGTTTTTCTTTCCAAAACCATTTTTTGAGGGGAGTGGGTGTTCCTCTGGTAAAAAGGATGACTGAAACAACAGATTTCACCATAACATAAGCTGCAAATGGGGGACAGGAGACACTCAGCTGCTTCTTTCATTCTACCGATGCTCCCAACTCTTTTCCATTCATTTTTGTTTCTCTCTCTTACTGCCTATGTGGAGCACCGTCAGGCCATCAAAAGGCTGCTCAGGATTACATTAGCTTCCTGCAAGAGCTTCAAAGGGCTTTTTATTCCAAAACTAGAAGCACTATTACTGTACTAGAGCAAAGAAAAGCACAGAACCCAGTTGAAGTCTTGTTACCATTTTAGCCCAGCAGTATACATTTTACATGACTACAGATTTCACCTGACCATCATAGGAGAGAATGATTCCTCTGTTCTCATATCAGACACAAATGTAACTGTATTAGCTCCATATGTATTGGAAATACTGTATCAGATCTAAAAAACAAACTCCAAGAGACAGTAAAGGAAATTTTGTGAAAAGCTGTGAGTGAAATGAACAATATATAATCTTTGAGGGACGGAGCTTTGCAGGACACATCCATGTATTTTCAAACTTCCATCAGCTTTAAGGCAAGGTAGGACAGAGCAGAGTCATAAAAGAAAAATGTCTGACGCGTCCAGGATGTACTGTTCTGCAGATGGTTGAGATCAGGTGTGGAATAGATGATATGAATGGTTTGAGAAAAGGGATCAGTAGTGTTAGCTATATAGTGGTTACAGCTACCTTCTGAGAACAGACCCTGCCATTCCAGACAAGGCTAAGAACTCAGGATGGCAGTCATGTAGGGTAAGAGCTGAAAGAACCAGGGAAGAAAAGGACAGAAAAAGAACAAGCCTTTTCTCCACCACAGCACAATACAAACAATTGGCAAAGGCATTTGGGGTGTAGTGGAGGTTTCTGGAGCAAGGAATGACCTCTGCAGTTCTACTACAACTAATCCTGACCCAGACAATATTCATTCCAGTGCAGCCACTCTGACTTATGATGAGAGTTTCCGCTCTAAATGTTCTCTCTTCCTTGGCTATTATGCTGTAATAACATTGGCTCCATTCTTTAAAAGTATTTCTTTCCAAAAATTTAAACTATGACCAATGTAATTACTTTTTAATACTTAAAACTTAAAATGTTAGGCACCCAAAACAGGTGTTGTAGTAACTTCTGTTTGAATAGAATTGCTACACTTTCAACACAGATATAATGGACAGACTTCAAATCCATATGCCATACAATGACGCATACTGGAGCCTTCTTTATTAAGACTGAGAGCCTTTCTTTTCATTCCTTGCACATCCTAATCAGTGATGTTAATGGGAGTTCTGAGTGTACAAGGAATGTAGGATTGGGCCTCAGAAATTGCTGCGCCTTCCAGGAAATCACTATAGGTAGGAATGTTAATGAAAGAACCTTTTCCCCTCCGAGATGGCAGAGACTAAGCATTTTTTACCGTTTGAGATCTGTCTAAATCCTTCAGTTTCAGCAAGTGTTTTAAGACAGTGACTTGAAATAAATGGCAAAGCTCTTTGAACAAACAGTGCAACAGAACAAGCCTTTTCATGATGCATACAATCAACATACTATAAATACACCTCAGAGTCAGACAGCAACCAGGCAATTCTGCTTTTTCCCATCATCACGGCAAGTTCCTAATCAGCATCATTGCATAAAGACCATGGTAGGTTCCGACCAACGTACCTGCTCCTCTTCAATTCTACGCTGTAGAGTTTCAATATAGTGCTGTACTGCCATGTAAATAAATCTGTACTGTGCTTCTGTCTGAACCATCCCAGACCGCTGTGATCTCACCATCTGAATGGTCTTTGGAACATCAATATCACAGTCTACACCTAGAAGAAATCACCCATATTACACTGCTGCACTAGCACAGGATGTTTTCACTGTCAGCTCTTTGGGACAGACTGTGTTTTCCCTAGTGAATGTAAGACACATAGTACATTTGGTTGCTATAACAATGATTTGGGGTGGTAATCAGAATCTGAGACCCTTATTTAGCCATTTGTACATCAACTTGCAGTAAAGACAAGCTATCCAGCTCTTCTGTAGGAGGAAAGAGCCAGCACTCAGCATTGCCCTATTAGATTCCAAATGGAGTCACGTGCAGTCTACAGCTGAAAATATTCATCATAATATAGAGGCACTAATGTAGAGGTGAAATACTTGAAACTTAAAGAAAATAGTGCATCCCATCATAACTGAGGAGATTAGTGATAAGCAGTCTTCAGATCAGGAAAGACCTTATATTAGTATAGTCAGGGCTCAATAAATCTGCTTATCTACTCGCCTGTGGCGAGAAGATTTCACCCAGTCGCCCCGTTCACTGGCAGTTCGCGCATGCGCAGTGCGGGTCTCGCGCATACTCAGTACGGGGCTGGTGAGTGTTTTTTGCTGTGATCGTCGAGCTCTGAGTATAGTATTAATTTTATGTTGAACAACATAAAAAATATGAACATTGCATTGTCTGTCCACTATAACATTAGAAGTTGCCCTTGCAAATAGGAAACCAAAATCATTAAAATGTTTTGGACAACAAATATGGCAAACAGTATGTACAAATGGAAGGCTGCAAAAAACCGTGTTGGCAAAAAGCAGGTATGAGAGCAAAAAAACCAACGAAATTTACAAAACAACTGAAGGTGAGATGCAAAATCCTCATTCCAGGATTTGGCCATATGACTCCCATTGAAGTAAATGGGGACACATCGCTAGGGATGTGATATCTCCTAGGCACAAACATACACTGTGCAACTTTTGCCTGATCTTCACCAATTGTTCACAGTACCTGTGAAAAAACTAAACTGGGGACCTACCTTTTTCTGTAGATATAGCCTGAGAGAAAATGAGCAAACTCAAATGAAAAGCCACACCGTCAAAAAAAAAAAAAAAAAAGGAAGTAATTTAGTTTCCTTTCTGAATAGGCAATAAAGTCACAGTAGACCAACAAGTGTCCAATATAAAGATGTACTGGACTTCCAGATGATATTATCAAACAAATGGAACTGAGCTATGACTGACAAAATAGTTTCAAGTTCTTAACTAACTAGAAACAAAGAGTGATTTTCCTGCAGAAAACAGAAGTAATATAATGGAACAGCACAACTCAATTTAGGATTTAGTAAACATTCTCAATTTACAGAGAAGCATAAAGTCATCCCTCTTCCTATAACCCCATAAAGAAACCCTCCTCTGCACGCACAAAGACACAGACTCTCAGACTTCTGAAAAATAAATACTAATATTCACGCTGTGATAAGGGCAGCTAGCATGCATCATCTCCCAAATTCTGAAACATGTGCAAAGTTATTCATCCATCAAACTTCAAGTGTTTTCTCAGGTAGCCAAATACCCAAGAAAAAATGGCATTTTTCAGAAAGAAATGTTTAATTCTTAAAGAAGCTTATAGTGGAAGCTAGGAAATATGTCACATTATTGTACCTGCAATGTACCACAACAGGACCTGCATCAGTGATGCTTTCTTGCTTGTGGTGGACTTCTTCTAAGAAGTCCAGGACACCACCAGGGTCACTGGGTACTCCATGATCAGGCCAGGTTCTGAAGTGATATTGCCAGACTGTTCTCTCAGTGTTCCCCTGAAAAAACCCCCCCACCAAACATACAAGTGAAAAAGTTAAATATATCAAGAGACACCCAGCCACAAGCATCCATTTACTCAGATGAATCAGTTGATTTATAAAAGGAAAACACAACAGACTCCTTAACACCATCAAAACCTAAAAAGGCCACACATTCCTATTTATTACAGTAACTTCTCTCTTGCCTCCTCAACACACATGCTTCCACTCCAGATGAACACAAGCCTCCAAAATATTTCTTCCCATCCTGGCAATCGGACCTCATCATCTGCTTAAACTGTAGCAAGAGAGTTTTAGGTTGCACATTAGGAAAAACTTCCTAACTGTCAGGGTGGTTAAACAGTGGAATAAGTTGCCTAAGGAGATTGTGGAATCTCCATCTCTGGAGATATCTATCTGGGATGGTCTAGAACAGCATTTCTCAAACTGTGGGTTGCGACCCCCAGGGGGGTTACGAGCAACTTGGGGGGGAGGGGTCGTAGGACAGTCTGGTTTGGGGAGTTTTTGGGACAGTCTGGTAAAAAAAATGAGAAAATACCGGGCATCCAGCCGCTGGCAAGCCATGCAGCGTGGCTAGGGCCGCGGGACTCCAGGAGCATGGCTCAGCTGCAGGAGGAGGCAAGGCAGCAGGAGAGTAAGGCCAGCGCAGGAGCAGACGCAGAAGGGGCCGGGCAGGGCACAGTTGCTGGGCGACCAAACACTTCCCCAGGGGTGGGGGGCCGGGGCCATGGGACTCCAGGAGCGCAGCTCAGCTGCAGGAGGAGGGAAGGTGGTGGGAGAGTGAGGCTGGTGCAGGAGCAGACACAGTAGGGGTCGGCCGGAGCACGGCTGCTGGGTGACCGAATGCTTCTCCACCTGGGAGAGGGACGGGTCCCTCAGGCAGCAGGCTGGGGGATTGGGTCAGGGCAGAGGACCCGGAGGTAAATAAGGGCATGTGGGGGTCAGAGGAGAGGAGAGGAGAGGAGAGGAGAGGAGAGGAGAGGAGAGGGAAAAAAAACCAAACCAAAGGGACACAGAGGAGAAAGAGACAGGGGGAAGGAGCCTGTAGGGGGGACGGGCATTGAGGACTGCAAATGCCTTGAAGGAACTCCAGGAGGGCAAGGAGTCTGGTGAAAAGGGGGGAGGAAGTGACCCAGGGGAGTGGAGGGGGGGGAGAGTCACACAAATTCACTTAGCATTTTAGGGGGTCGTGGTATCACAAAGTTTGAGAACCCCTAGTCTAGAAGATACTGGGTCCTGCCATGAAAGCAGGGTACTGGACTCGATGACCTCTCGAGGTCCCTTCCAATTCTAGTGTTCTATGATTCCATGAATCCCTTCATGGCTTCCTGCTTCTCCACTGCAATCATCTCTAGCTTCTTGTCCTCACCTTCAGGACTCTGCCTCTTAGAACATAATCTAGCTTCAGTAGGATGACTTGCACAATTTCCTAGTTGCTGAGTCAGAGCCTTAGTCTCTTATTCACTGTTTATGGTTTTACTGGGCCAGTGACAATCAGTCTAAGCAACCTGCTTGTTGGCTTATCCCTCAGCAGATTTTACACCTTCTTCTACACTCTCCGCTATACACAGATTGGTCTGCATGACCTGGTTTGCCAACCTAACACTCTCCCATCCTTCAAACCTCTCCTTTAAAAATCACTTTTAACACCTTCATGAAGAGTCAGTTTCTTTTTCATCCACATGTAAGTCAAGCACATGTGCACATGCTTTTGCTGAGTAACCACACATAACATCCAAAGTTCTCTCCTTCCCCATTGCCACCCCACTGTGATGCAGCTCCTTTGGTCACAGACTAAGCTCTTTAGGGCTGCAACTCTGTGCAACACACTCAAACTTTGCATGCTTTTGCGTACTGCAGAAAAAATTAGTGAACAGGGAGGCTGTCATATAAGGAGCCTAGAAATAACTGTCAATACTAGGTATCTTAACCAAGATGATGTAAGGCCCTCAGATGCTATAATGAAGTGGCACATGCAAGCACCTAAATAGAGCAAAGGCTAATTAGGTTTGCATTTACGGACAAGACTACTTTATCATCAGGTTTCCCAATAAATCTAGAGACACACACTCTTTGAAGTGCTTAACTTCTGGCTACAAGAATCTGGAGGGTCAAGACATTATCCCAAGCTCAAAAGACCAAAATCACTTGATTTAGAACCTGAGTCTCGAAGTGAAGGTTAGGGCTTGATTTATTAAAACTTAAAGATTATTTGTTCCTAAACTCTCTTTCTGTCCACCAGCAGAAGATTTAGTCCTTTCTGCAATTCTTTTTTGCATCCTAAATTTAAAAATTAATATTTATTATAAACTAGAAAAGAACTAACCAATCAACCAAAGAAAAACTACTGACATACTTACCTGACCAACTTTAGAAAGTTTGAGTTCTCTTAGCGTATAGTCATGAGCAGCACTTTCTTTAACATTCCTAACACGCATAACTCCATACTCCTTTAATGCGTATTCATCAGGCCAATATTTGACACACTTACTCTGGAAGATGGAAGAAAAAAAACAGTTTAATATCTGATTTCACAAGTCAGATTGTTTTTTAAAATGCAGTTTTCTGAAGATTTAAACATATTTTATATAAATACCGAGTTTACAGTTACTAACACAGTGCAAACTGGCAAAGGCTAGTTTAACAGGGAAAACTAGATTAGCCTGTATCACCCAATGTCCTTTAATGTTTGATATTTCTTTTCCCTGTGCAAGATGGAGGAGAAAAGAGACTACAAGGAAGCTTTAAGGGTCCCAGGATAGCTTTGGGAGTGGGAGCATTTTGCTTTCCAGCAATGTTCCTGATTTCGTTAGCTTCAATAGATACCAAAATTAAACTAATTAACTAACTAACTAACTAAATAAATAAAAATCTCATCATTGTGACGGTAAAAAGGAAAGCCCCTAGAAGCATATGCCACACTCACCTCAAAAGTAGTTTTAATACATGGAGAACTTCAAGTGGACTGCATTAACCTAAGAAGTAGCTCTAAAAATCTTGTATTTAAAGCTATAAATATAAGTCAAAGAAATGAGCCATTTTTAACACAGAAGCATCTTGGAAGACATTTGCCTTTCACATCATTTGGAAATCAGAGCAGAGAAGGCTCACTGGACCTCCAGGCCTTCACTCAAACAATGAGGAATTGTTCTCCACAGAGTACTGAACGCATCTCACTTTGATATTTAAGCCTGATTCAGAGTGTCCCACTTTCCTTAGAAGACTACTCTAGGGCCTGTGGTAATGTATTCCATATAACAAAAGCAAGTCCTCCAAAACCAAGTAAAAATAGTAATAAGAAATAGCAAGATCCTTGAGAACATTCAAATGCAAACCTAGTCTACGTACTGTAGGGATGAATAATTTCTAGAAGACATACAGACAGATTTTCTAGCAATATCAAATGCAGGCCACCCACAGATTAGTGAAGAGAATGACTTCCCCATAAATGTGCATCTGAAGGTCAGTAATTTCACTGCCAAAACTCAACAGCAATAGAAAACATGAGAGAGGGAAAGTATCTTGCTGCCAACACGAGAAGCTATTATGCTAGATGAGGGAAGCATGCATACACATTTGCCAGGATGCTTTGGAACTAAGCTTTTGTTTATTTGTATTTTCCTCAAAAAGCATAAGCTGCACTGAAACTCACATTTTGTATTTAAATCAACATAGATAACAATTTGCCAATTTAATGCAGGATACTGAACAAGGAGGCAGCTGTTGGCATAAAGAGTCTCAACGGTAATGTGTAACATTAAAGAGTCATCAGTGTGAGAAAGGGGATGCATTGTACATCAGCTCAGTGGATCTCTTCCAAGACTGCACTATTTTAATTTGAGAGAGACAGGGTGGAGACGATTATTGAGGGAGGGAGAGAGAATTATTTTAATTTGTAATGATGTGCCTTTGTGTGATTCTCTAACTGCATATTTTGTAGTCTCAACATTCTTAGATGGATCTGAGAGTTTCAGGAATCCCTACTGCCTGAAGTAAACTGGTCCTAAAGTCATCCTCTCTAGGACAGATGCTTCCTTCTACCTCAAAAAGCACCTTGAGCTGGGGTGTATAAGCTTTCACATCCAACCAGGACAGCAATCTGTGTCTACTGAAATAGAAAAGGCACACTGAATCTCTCAAAAATACTTAGCACATGCTGCATCACTAATGATCTGATTACTGAATCATTCTAAAGGGCTGTGTTTTTAGTGTGGAGAGAAGACTGGCACGACTTAGAGAAGTGCCAGGAAATGTGGGGAATGTACAGCAGAGGTGCTGACTGGAGGAACAAGGATCGAAGTTAACGCAAAAAGGGCTATTGCTAGAGTGTCAGCCATATCTAGCAATCACTGACAAAAAAACAAAGCAAAAGATGAGTCAAGACAAGCCTTGCCTAGTTGGTAAAATATCACAGAAGTTACAGGGTCCTGGGGATGCTCTGAAGTATGACTCTTTTAAAAACACCCACAATCTCTTCATTTTGTTCCAGGAGTGAGGGTGCCAAGGCACAGCTCTTGAGCCAATGGGCCAGCTGGTCTTTCTTCACTGCACTCTGAACAGACGGAACCCGTCATAGAGTCCTTCATCAAGCCACCCAGGTAGAAGTCACAGATTTTTTGATTTTTTAAATAAAGGGCAGGCAGGATTTTAACAACTCAGACATCAAAACCAGGACCAACCCACAGCCCTGTACATGGCATGCTGGAGACTTTAAGGCGGGGGAAAACCCCAACAAAAGCTACAAATATCCAGCTTTCATGCTAAGTGTATTAACAGATCTCACCGCTTCATATGGTCAAGCAAAGGGGAAAAAATGGTCAATTATTTGTTAAATAACAGAGCACTAGCTATTTTCTTACTTAGTCTTCTTCGAGTCCTCCTCACACTGAGTGGAATATTTTCTTTTTACTGAAGAGATGAAGTATAAGATTCAAACAGAAAGTATCATTCTGACCAAGAGATGGAAAGAAGAACACAGACAAGACAAAGTGTTTGCAGACATCTAAGGCAAAGCACTCCTGAGAGAGAAACCCAAGCTGCACACAAGCAGTGGTGTCACTGTCAAGAACTCTTTCTGTTTTTTCTCATCCAGCAAGTTTAGGAGTCAGAAACAGAGTAATTGCCCCAGATTACAGGAGGAGAGAACAAACAAGATCTCAATTCCTTTAAAGAAACAAGACACAGTTCTGGGATACGTTACTGTAAAAGTTCTTGCTTTCAAAGTAATAAACATGCTGGCATTGCCAGAGCACTTCACTAGAGACTTGCAGATCACTAGGGTTGAGTGAGCAGCTGTGTTCTTGCAGAACATGGCACACAGACTGCACTTGCAGGCAGAAGAAAGAATGTTAGAAATAAAATTCCTTTAAAGAAACAAGACACAGTTCTGGGATACGTTACTGTAAAAGTTCTTGCTTTCAAAGTAATAAACATGCTGGCATTGCCAGAGCACTTCACTAGAGACTTGCAGATCACTAGGGTTGAGTGAGCAGCTGTGTTCTTGCAGAACATGGCACACAGACTGCACTTGCAGGCAGAAGAAAGAATGTTAGAAATAAAATGCTTTGGGGGTTCTCAGCTGGATGCAGTTGTGATCCAACTGACTTGCTCATCATACAAGCCCAAAGAGCGTTGTCACTGCCAAGTATGGAAAGCAATGAAGTAATGGAGGAAGAAGAGAAATACATTCTGGTAGTCAGCATGCCAGCCTAGCTGCGCAAGTTTACTAATTTCTTCACTATTCCTTCTCCTTAAGTAACAGATCTAAGGGCAGCATAGCAATACATATAAGGGTCACTTATTCAAGCTCTATAAACAAGAGCCTGACCTGTGAAATGAGTGCGCTCTTGATTCCTATCGCTGTCAGTGAGAGGAGAAGGCATTCTGCATCTTGCAGGTCAGGACTTGGGCCTCCAATGGGAGTCACATCTGCACCATGTCATCATATTTAAGTTTGTAAGTCAGTGTGACTGAAGACTGGTTAGTCTTTAATTTGTGTTGAAAAATAATTAATTTTACTGGGACCCGCCTACGGTTCCATTTTACCTTTCCTCTTTCGACTTCTTTTGTTGTCATAACGATAACGCGAGAGTTCTCCTGGAATACCATTCTCCAGAAGTCATTCACTGTGTTCTGCAGGCAGCCTTGAGTAGCAATGTAACTTTTTTTTGGCTTTGAATTGTTGCATTTAGTTTCAAATTCAGGCTAGAGATCAAAACAAGCATCAATGAATGATGTGACTGTAAAGAATAATTTACTTTAGTAGGGATGCAAATGCAAGCAGGCTTTGAACTAGACAATAACACACTTACCATAATAATATTAGCATTGATATAATCTGAAACTGGTTCATTTGGATCTCCATCATGTAGAACAACTCTGGTGTGATCAACTAGAGGAAGGATAAGTAAACAGCATATTAAACTCCTGCATTCTGTGGTTGCTATCTAGCCAAATTGTAATTGTTTCCTTCGTACCAAAAGAATGACATAAAGGCCACGTTTTGCATGTTCTTGACAACTTACCATTTCTAATAGCTAAGAAAATGGCCAGAAGACTCAACCTTTCCTCTCTCCCTGCTCTCTAGGACAATTTCAAATTTCTGAAGAAATTAAAATCAAACATCAAGTTGTTTGTGTTCTCTTTTTAGGCATTGCTTAATATTTGCAATTAATTTGAATATGAGATATATAAAAAGTATATATAATTATTCTGCCCTGCACCACTCCAGCATAAGTTAATCCTCTTAAATATACTGAGCATTAGTGCTGATCACTCAACACATTTAGCTTGTTGATGTTTTAAAACACTGTACTTACTGGCCAATAATGATCAGCTTCCCAGTGAAATGACATACCAGTATCAACCCAATGTTAACAGTGAAAAAAGAAGAAAAGGTGAATACTACTTACAAGGTAAAATGTTTTTGTATCTATTTTTGTTTTTGCTTTCTTGCCGTTGACCCTCTTTACGACTATATAGAAGTTTGCATTCTTGCTGTTGTAATGTCTAGATGAAAAGAATATAAACAACTGGTTTCACTAAAACTTATATCATGTTGGCAATGAGGAGACACACCACACATAGCAGTGACTGTGGAGAAAAAAAATCTGACTTTTGACTATCAGATGAGAAGAGACATCATTAGAAAAATAAAATCTCATGGTTTAATAAGGTTGGTCCAAAGGGTTAAATACGTTGAATTAGGAAATTCAAAACAGCAGTTACAAGAAATAATCTGACAGCTTTGAAGGCAAAGGTTTATGTAAGGAATCCAAATGGCTGTAATTTCAACCTCCTAGGGAGCTTTACATACAAAAACAATATTTGGTTACAAAAACCCATCATAAAATGCGTTGGGCTGCTGGTTTTGGAGGTGGGAGGGGGGTTATACAGAAGTTTGACAATCCAAAGGAAACCCAAACAAGCCAGCTGCAAAATGAAAATGAATGCCTGAATGAGAACATACTGAACTGCGTGCCAGATCTTCCAAGTGTTACATCTTCTGGCTAGATTTCTAAATGAAGGTAAGCATTAAAACATGATTCAAGTCTAATTCCTAAAATGCACTATGTAGTAGGGATGTTAACAAGCGGTTACCTAGGTAATTGTGTAACTGTGAAAAATCTGGAAGCCTGGTTCCAGCTGCCAGCCCCACTCCCAGGGAGCTAGCTGTACTGCAGGCTCTGCAGTATAAAGTTTATAAAGTGTATACTGCAGAGCCTGCAGTGCAGGGCAACAGCCAGCTCCCCACAAGTGGTGCCAGGGCCAGTGTGTAACCGTTACGGTAACCAACAAGCTCAGGCTTTCTGATTAACCATTTAAAGGGTTACACTATTACATCCCTACTATGTAGTGGCCATATTACAACAAATTCAGGAATGAAGAAGTGCGCCATATGTGGCCTCTCAACCTTGACACAACTGAAGTTAAGGGTCCTCACAAAGCATACCCAAAGACTTGTGTCATCATATGAAGCAAGAAGCTGGGCTGAGATTTCCCAATCAGTTCAATCAGAAAATCACAAATATTTTTGCAAATGGAAACGTAGCTTCATAAAACACCACCCTTGAAGCGCAGCAATTGGGACCTGGTGCAAGCGGGGACTACTTCAGTCCCTGCTTGCACTGTTTTCCCCGTTGTGCCTCTGCCTTCCTCTGCCCTCCTCCCACCCCTTACCCCACCCCCATGAAGGCTTATCTGGTAGTTGACTAATCACTTACATCCCTAATTGCTAGATTTTTCTCTTAAAAAAGACTTCCTATAAGCAGCTCTAGATAAAAACTTGTCACATTAGAATAAGACTATTCAAGGCAGACATGTTCTAAAATAGGACCAGAAAGTAAAATTAGCAACCATAACAGCAACAGGACTTACGCTTTTGCATGGAAAGTTCTGTATATGCTTAATCTTAAGGCATTCCTCTGAAGAGAGGCAAGTATTATACCCTCTTTTTACAACTGAGCAGAAGGATGATCTCATAATTACAGCACTAGCTTTGGAACTGGAAATCATGGATCAATTCCCCACTCCACCACAAAACTCCTGTGTTATTTTGGATAAGTTACCAAGTTCCTCTGCCTTTCCATTTCCCTATATTTAGTATGAAGATAAGATATCTATAGGAGAGTTGTGAGTGTGTGCGAATGCTTGCTAAGTGCCAAGAACAGAAGATGTTCTTCTAGTATAAAGTGTTAGGAGTAGTAATCATTTATGGTGCAAAGTTCTACAGAAGGTTCACTTCAGCTAACAACATGTGCCTGCCATACTGCATGATGCTTCAGGTGCTTGGATAAGCCAATTACACTGAACACCGTGGGTGTAATTAGCACTTTGAAGCTACTAGTATTGCACGTTTAACTGTGTTCATTTTATAATCTGCAAGCAAAGTTCGCCCTCGGGGTCTTTCAGCATGGGACTCAAGCAGGCAAGACTACAGAAATGTCCTTGCTTCATACAAACAATTATTATTGCTCTGTGCATCCCTGAGGAAAGGCTCATGAGCTGCAGCAACATGTAGAGAGCCCATTAAAGTTGTACATAGTACAACAATAAATCTGGTTGCAATAATAGATGGTGGTTGTTAATTCACTATACCAGCCAAGCACTAAATTCATCAAAAACCCTTTTTTTTCCGAAGCAAAAGAATAAAGAACACTGCCAACATCTCTATCAAGTAGCTCACAGGAAAAGAGGAATTGTATCTTTAAATATACTGAAAAGGAAAGTAATTTGGGTAGTAACACCATAAATAGCACAATCTGAAGCATCATGGACACCCAGAGTCTTCCACAGAGATAGACAACTAATGACTGTTAGAGCTGAAAAATAGCAAAATTAACATTTTATAAGATGGCTTCATTTCAGAGGCCACCACCTGTAAAAAGACAGTTACGAATAACACAGCAATTTCCAAAAGGCAATGAAAGTGAATGGAAGGAAGTATAAAACAGCTCACAAGAAAGATTTTCTATTTTCATAACTTTTCCTCCTTTCTTAAATTTTTGGCTTCCCAGTGAATACATTTATTCAGGAAAGTCAGAGCATTTATCTGTCCTGTTTCAACACGGGCCAGCCACAGTCAATCAGCTACATTATGAGTGTCTCTTCCACTACTCCAACAGGCCATAAATCATCTCAGGCCAGCCCAAAAGGGGAAGCAAGAGGTACAGTAACAATGCTAGCTGTGTGTGTACATATATGAATCTACAGTATATTTGGAAGGGAACTGTGTGGGAATGCTTAGCCCTCTGGATTACATTACGTCCCTCTGACACGAATATTGGCACATAGGGAGGAATCCAGTCTCTTCCCTTCCTGGGCAGCTAAACATTAGTCCACAGGCCATCAAAATCACTTCACCAGCCAGCAATAACTACAAAAGGGGAAAAGCGGGAGGGGGGGACTCAAGAGTACCTTTAGGACTCTTGCTAGTGAAGTCTGAGTCCTGGAAGTATAAATTCCCAGTTCCCAGGAAAGGATGCTAACTGCAGTACTCGGTCACATGCATCGTAGTTTAAATGTCATAATATTACAGCTATTAAAGTATGCCACAGACCATGGTTTCTGCATACAAAGCTCTTTTTCACATCCACATGGAAACTCTAGCTAGGCAGAATGTGGCTGCTTGACATGAGATATATGGAGCATATTTGCATGTCCTGTGTGGAAGCCAAGGGATGCTAGTTTGATAGACTCTTAAATCTCCTGGGCCCTAGTTTTTCAAGGCTGCCTCCTCTTTCTCCACATTCCCTCATGACAGTGATCAGCTGAGATAATTCTGTTGATGGTCCCTTTTCTGACAGTCAATGGGCAGATAATTTGAGGGGGAGAAAAACTACTCAACTCAGACAGAACAGAGACCAGAAACTCTTGTTTCCATCTTCTTCTTGTCTTTCTCTGATCAAGATCAAGAAACTGTTTATTTCCCTCTCGTGCTGGTAGAGAGCAATTTCCTACCTCAGCTAGAGATGCTCCTTTGTGCTTTTCATTTGTTTAATTATCCCATGAAATCCAACTGGCAGAATAATAATCATGAGGGCTTTACTCAGCTAATGAATACATTTGCAAATATTTCCTCATTATCTAACAAACTGTAGTTACTCTCCTCACTCACTCTCAAACCCCAACAGTGTTCAAGAAGTTTCTCAAACAGCAGTATGCCTCTTTATAAAAGAAGCTGCTATGACAGGATTCCTTGATTTCCTATCTCCATATGCTGGTAGTATAATATATATTCCAAAATCATTTAAGACAGTTCTTCAGTATAAACCTGTCTTACAGAAACCATTTGAGGCCCTTTGGAAGAGGCTATCATCTTCATTCTATTCTTTTTTGGACCTGTATCACAAGGAAATTTTGGAACCAGGAGTGCCTCACTATGGTTTAAAACACAATATATAGAAAGAGAAAAAATGAGGAATACGGTTGAAATTGGGCAATTTACACACAGGAAAACACTCAAATCAATACCTTTTTAAAGAAAAAACCCAGGACCGGGTACTAATAAAAATGTAAAAGAGACATACAGCATCATAGAGAGGGGAGAAGGCACCCTCCCTTACATGCTTTCTGGTAAAAAGATAGTAATACTAGCTCCAAATGGAAGGGCTGCACCTAAACAAAATAATAATAAATCCCTAAGAAAGTATTCTAGGAAAGCATACAGATTACACAGCTGTCATCCTAACACTACTGAAAATTAACCTGGAAAATGGCTCAAAAGGTCCCTCTGTGTAGTAGTTTTATTTTAACATTCCCAAAATGGTAATTTCTAAAAACGGCAAGAGAGAGAGCGTTGCTGGGAGGAAGATTTGTATTACAGTGATTATGTTTGGCCAGTTATCCTTCACCATCCTCCTGTAAGCAGCACACAAAATACATGGGGAGTTTTGTTTTCTAAACTGCTTATCTCTTTCCCCTCATTTTAAAACGGGTACAATATAAATATAATATTATCGGGCCAGCTTTTAAATAGATTATCTTCCCTATTTAAAACCATATAATATCCACACATTAATCTCTTATTTCCAACAAAAGGAACACTGAAAAAGCAATATACTGTGTTGGAAAACTTTATAAGTATTTTCTAAGCATAAATTCAAGTATGAGATTTTGTTCTACTAAACATAACAACCAAAACCCAAAAACTTCACACACACATTTGTTATTCTGAAATTCCTAGCAAGCTGAGTTATGTGAAAAATCACCCTGGATTCTCTTTTTACAAGTCCATTGTTGGACAAAATGCATAGTCAACTGCTTGACTACACAAATTTAGTCAATAGTACAGGTTGAACCTCTCTAGTACAGCACCTTTGGAAACTGATAGGTGAAGAACCAGAGAATTTGCCAAACCATGGGAAGTCAATATTGTCTAGCAGCATTACCAATACTTCCTCTGCTATTAAGAAGACATTTAGGCAAAAACCCAGAACACTAAGAGCTAATATTGGTGAGACCATAGGAAACTTGGCCACACCTATGATAAGTGGACATCCAGATAACTA